TCTCATCTTTTTAAGTGGGAGAACTTGCACAATTGGTGGCTGACTAAATACTTTTTCCCCACTGTATGTATCCTCTGGATACCTACTTTAACAGGGTGTTGCTACTAGGGGTCTGTTGAGACAGTTCCTTCAGCATATGCAGAGCATGTGGTAGCCCCTGTGTGACAGGCAAAGACTTAGTATGATTCTAGGCTCTTGGTCGTAATCCCTTAAAGGAATATACTCCTGATTCCAAGCCTTGAGCTCTACCCCGGGCCCAGGAGTTCTGACCCTAACAGGTACGTTTTTTGGGGTATGTAGCCTAGGCCTTTGGCCGTAGGGAATAATGTCACTGACAGCCGTCTTAACGTCCCAGGGGCAACTCCCATGGCTATGGTAGAGTTTGTACTTAGTGCTCACCATGGTTCTGGCATGCATTCCCCTCAGCATGGTGGCGTGGGTATACCGTTCCCCATAGCAACCCCTAGAGGATGCAGTTCGAAGTTCCCTTGAAAGGGAACGTCTCAGGTTATGTATGTAACCATGGTTCCCTGAGTAGGGAACGAGACACTGTGTCCTCTAGGTTTCTTGCCATGCTTCGGACGCAAGCTTCAGACAAAGAAGTGGATGATGTGTTCTCCCGGCGCCTATTTATACTATAGTCGCACTGGTAGTGACGTCATGGCTGTTGCCGGCCAACGTGCTGTTGGTGTTTTTCAATGTATGCTTCAGACACGGGTCACAACGAGGCATTCCCCATAGCGACCCCTAGAGGACGCAGAGTCTCGTTCCCTACTCAGGGAACCATGGTTACATACGTAACCTGAGACGTTATTTTCACTCACCCAACCACATGTGGACATTGTAAGATGGAGCAGAAGTGGTGTAAAGGACAACATAGGCATCTCCAGTGAAGAAGTTTCCTTGGAGCTGTTTGGGGACAGGTTTCAGATCCATCTTCTCTATCCTCCAAATCTGCAGACCAGGCTCCTTGCCTGCATTCTGGAACTCCTTATGGAAAACCATGATTCCTGGAACATACAAAAATAGTGTGGCTGAAATGAACTATGAAAATCCATACAATTCGAAGACCTAATGGTCTGAAGGTGAAAATTACTGGGAGGGTGATAAAGTAGGTGCACAATGGATCTTATAAAGGAAAACACTGGAATAGCAAATGTTCTTATTTTTTACTAAAATTAAAATTACAGAGACCAAAGACTAAGGTTTCTTCATCTACTACATTTTTTTTTTTAAACTATAACAAAGTGGCATTCAATTTTATTTAAATATTAGGAAAATGTGTGGATGCACATGGTAAAAAAAAATGTGCATCAGTAATAATGCAGAAAGCATCAGATGCATTTATTCTCGGATGACAATATGATACTGCTTATATGCTACCTGCATTACTGTACCTGCACTTCATCAGTGAGCATTTAACTGCATTTTCAACTCATATGAAAAAAATATATATATTTATGATGATTAGGCTGTTAGATATGATGATATGGCTGTGAGGTTATTAATTCCTCAGTTGAAGTATAAGGTGGATGCAGCCCAGCCGGATGGGGATGTCAACAAATGAGTCATGCTGCATGATTAGGCCTACAGCTGTGGGCAGACATGCGTGCCCCGTTCCTTTGAGTTTACCAGGAAAACATTTTATGCAAAGAAAACACTTTGCATGTACATGAGATCTGCCATTTACAGATTCATCGTATTAGAAGAAATACCTGATAGTGCTATTTACCATAAACTATAAAAGACAACATAAACATTAACCGATTTAGAATGCAATCATAACCAGGCAAATACTTTTCACACAATACATAGCCTACTGTAGCTAGATTACATCTATCTATCTATCTATCTATCTATCTATCTATCTATCTGTCATCTAATTTCACTGTTCAGCACTGGAAAAATAAGAATTCTAAATTAACTTTGCCTTTAAGCAAAAATCAAAGCGGTGTAGCCAACACCCTGCAGTTATAAATTAATTACACCTTTTTAACCATTTAGAATTTAACTACACGAGGCTGAAACTCTTAAACTAAAACTTATGCATAAATATTTTGATATAAAGCATGGGTAATTCATGTAAGGGCTTCACGTCCGTGTCTGAATGGACACGCCCACATTTTAAAGAAACAAATCAATTAAATAAGAACTTTTTAACATTTTCAATTAAATAACATGCACAATCAGCGTACTTTTTTTTGGTTACAATTTATTTTAAGGTGTCCTTGTTACAGTTTAATTATACATTTAAGTACTGAGTAATATTAATTAACTACATAGGCTACTTACGATATCCTATAGTTAGGGTTAGGATTAGGGTTTGGCTTAGGGTTACTTGCATGTAATTATGCATAATTAATTGTTATTACAATAGTAAGTACATGTAACGTGTAACAAGGACACCTTAAAATAAAGTGTTACCTTTTCTCTTTTTTTTCTTTTCTTTTTTTTTGCGATTCAGATCATTTAAATGTGAAGGGTTTGTATGGTCTAAAAGTGTGCATGATCACAAATGCCTGCAAAGCACAAACGAATAATACCACATATGCTTGTAAATATAGATAAGAGTTTGCAGTAGCCTACAATAAATAAGCCGTCTATAAAAGCCGTCTGCAGCTAGACTCCACCTCTACATTTATAATGAAACTGTTATTTCCTGTTCTTCACTTTCCTTAATAAATCTGGATCTGGATAGTCTATTAAAGCAAACAAAGAAATAAAATCCGCTACCAACATCCCCTGCAAACATCCCCCCCCCCCCAAAAAAAGACGCTAGAAAGTAACAGATGTAAAGTGATAACCCAGATACAAAATAACATTTTATCCCGCACTCAGCTCTCTTTAGACTCGATGAAGTACGAGACTAAAAGTGAAGGGAGTTTAGTTTTCCTACCTTCCTGGTCACTGAGGGCGATGAAGACTCTGGTTTGAGAAGCTGCTCCTGGTTTAGTCCAGACTCAGTTTCACAAGTTTCAAACGATGCGAACCGACTTTAAATGATCTGCCGTTTTTTCAGGGAAGAGGCAGATGCGAGTCCTCAGCCAATGACTCTCTCTGTTTCTCTTCCCCCTGAGGCTGCACGCTCTCTAAAACCCACATTATGGCATAACTTTACGGCACAAAGTCATTCCACTCCCCCAAAACCAAATCACCCCATAAACCAGCATATATTACTATAATGAAATGCATTATAAAAACGATATATATATACATATATATATATATATATATATATATATATATATATATATATATATATATATAAATGAGTAGTTGATGCATAAATTAAAAATTCATATATATTTGTGTTATAGCAAATATGACTGGTCTTATTTATTTAATTACTTAGTTTGTCATTTATTAGCTTGTACTTATAATTTAAAATGTAAATTTAGTATGACAAAATAGGCTACTAAAAATAAATACAAAATAATTTGCAAAATGCTCTTTAGAAAAACTGTTAGATGCACAACTGCAGAACACGTCAGCTTCCTAAAAGTATTTCATATTCAGCATATTTCAACATCCTCATATACATGATAGAGTACAGCTGTACAATACACAAATGCAAGTCTGTAGGCACAAAATGTTCAACACATTAAATAGTTCATATGCATAGATACAAAAAAATATATTTTTTATGTAAAATGCATTATTCATAATGAAATGAGTGTAATAATGTGAATCTGAGGTACAGAAGGGTAAATGTCTCAAAGACTGTGTAATAATAATAAATGACAAACATTTTAGTGCATGCAAGGGACAAAGAAAGGTGTTCATCACTTTTATTTTCCTTTGATTTATTGACATAATGTGTGTTATGCATTCATTGTACAGTATCATTCAACATTATTTTTGCAGTTGGTCGTTCAAGTAAAGTATTGTTTGCACATTTAAGGTTAAGCTCATTAAGCTCACATTTCCAGTGAGGTGGCATTCTGTCCTTGGTGAAAGTGAGACCACACCTTTCATGCAATTATAGCTCCAGTCAGGTCTACTTGTTTGTGCTTCATGCACATTAGATTCACAGTACAGCTAACAACTCAGTCTTCCCCATGTCAGTCACTCCCTCCATAACGCTCTCTGACTATTTGTGCCGCCCTTCCCTGATCTTGCATTTCCCTACACTGCTCCACCCAGCCCTCATAGCTCTCCAATGTCATTACAATCTCAAGGCTTTCTCTGAGCTCTACTACACCTGCAGACCTTAGAATCTGTCTCACAGCAGCTGGCAGAAACCTTTGGCAACACAAAGACTGTAAGATTTGCTGTAATATTCTAGAGAATATTCCATAAAGACACCAGCCTAAGGAGCGTCCAAGCTTTCTATTTAATATTCTCATCAGATCCACCATGCAATGCCCTGAGCGCACTGCTTTGTTTGAATATACCTCTGGCTTATCAAGCTCCCAAGCAGGATTTCTCAGGCAATCCATAAAATGAAGGGCAACGAAATCATAGGTGCATTTCTCAAGGTGAAATCTGCCTAAAGATTTGCTCAGAGCAAGGCCTGTGCATTTAAAACATGAAGGCCTGTTATGAGAGGATAACAGTGAGGAGCAGTGGCTTAGTATGGAGTGGAGTGAGTGAGTCAGAGTGAGTCAGAGTCACAGACTCTCTGTGCTAAATTTAGTCTTATAGTGGTTTCCTCAACTGTCTATGGCTATTTTCCATTGCATTAACTTGTGCTCACTGTTATGCATAAAACAGACCTTTGAATAAATCTATGGGCACATTTGGAATACTTGACTCTCTAACCTTTTCATACTCTCACTAGTTTATGTAATTTGTCACAGGACAATTCTGCAATTGTTGCCATTCTGAACAAACAACAAATATTATAAAAGAATCACAATAATCCAAAGTAATCGACATGACTCCATCAATTAACACCTTGTGAAGCAAATAGCTGCATGCTTGTAATATAAACAAATCCATCATTAAGACTTTTAACTGTTGACTTCAAACTGTTGCTCTCAGCTAACATGAGTCATCTACTTACGATATAACTTTTTTTCCAGTGAAAAAGCAGGCTCATCTGAGTCAGAAGAGAAATATGCACAGATCAAGCACCATTTACAAGTGAAAACAGTCCAAAACAGCTGTTAGCTGTTAGCTCTTAACTTATTAGCTAGCATTTTATGTGTCCTAAATATATTTTTTAAATATACTTTACACTTTTTGCAAGTTTTGCATATTTTCTTCATACATCACATGTCTAATATTTCATCTCAATCATGGTCTTCATTGGTAACCAAGTACACTAACTTTAAAAAAGGCATTGATAACACAGCTGTTGGTTGTGGTGGAAATGGCATCACAACTGAGAGACTGTCCTTATTTGTGTAAAAATTGATGGCATCTTTTCAAACTATATTAAAATGCTTTAATATTTAGTTAAGTCGTTGTTTAGATTATCGAAGGTTTAAAAATGTACTGTTTAATACAGAAACGATGTATAATTTCTTTCTTAATATTTCAGTGTTGAAACACATCGCTGCCTATCTTGAATAATATGGAGAAACACAAGACAAAACCACATCTCTGAAGTAATGAATGTGTATCAAGACCGGCTTTTAGACATATCGTTGTAACTTCCTGTTTAAGGAAGCTGTTACAAGTGTGTCTTGAAGCGTGTTGTGCCATGATACAAACCCTTTACTCTAACCACCGGCACAAACAAGTGTTTCCAATGACAACCACAGAGGGTGTAAACACAGAGCGGCTGCTGCATATATAAAAGTAAACCTACAGGTATAGCTGCACTTTTTAGTACATTATGTTGCCCATTGTATTAGTGAATAGCAGACTTGACAGCAATAATGTCTGAATGTTAAATGTGAATGTTGAAAATGTTTATTTTGTAATCTAACATATTATATGTAATATATTAACAATAGAATTTCAACAACAAAAAAAAAGTAAATACTTTTTCATTAATAATGCTTTTATAGAAATAGAAATAATGCAGAATACTAACTATTTCTTAGCAACTTTACCAGTTTTTAGGTTATTGTTTTTAGTTTTTCAAATTCCTGAAACATTCACTACACTCTAAAAAATGCTGGATTAAATATAACCCAGCATTTTTTAGGGTGTACTATGTATTCAGCATCTCAGAGCAGCTAGGTTTGCAGTAAATGCAGCAAGTGAACTCCATCTCTGCATGTGCTGTGAGTTCAACAAGCATCTGGAAACACAGTGTGTGCCAAACCAGTTATGCTTTATTTTCACATTTGTTTAATTTCATTTTTATGGACCAATGATTACAGAATTAAACCAGCTTTGTAATGAAAACCTGTTGTCACAGAAGTTTAAAAAGTCTTCCTGCATTGTTTCAGTTGGCCCTAAATATTTTCTAATAATTATGCCCCAAATATTTTGGTATTATATCAAAATTAGAAATTTGTGACAACATTAATGTGGTGGACCCCACTGTATGGCAATAAGTGATTTGGTGGGTCTGTATTTATTACTTTTCACATAGCTGTTTGGCAGAGGATTGAGTGCACCTGCGTGGACCCGCTCATGACTGGGGGAGGGCTGCAGAATCCCTAAACCCCTCACTGCAACCACAGCATTTTCTGCTATTGTCTTCCTTTTAAACACACACGCCCTTAATACACAAACCCACACACACAGAAACACATACCTGCACACATGCTTGCACACATGTGTATGTACACACTTGCAGACATCGACACACACATCTCCTGAAGTGGTCAGTAACACACTCAAATTCTGGAAATTTAAACAAACCTCTTTCATGCACAAATTCACAAATACAAAACTGCGCTTTAGTGCTCACATGCAACAAAAGGCAGGGACATAACGCTATTGTCTTCAGACCAGAGGAGTGTGAGCAGAGTGTGCCATCAGGAATGTGGATAAATCCAGCACTATAGGCTTTATACGATTATCCAACAATTCCAAACAAAGTCTGATGGATGCTGTTTTAAAATCATTTAAAATCTTTGTAGATGTACCAGTCTCACATTATTATATCACAAATTGGCCTGTGAACTGACTAAATGTGCCATTTCATTAAAGCTTTCAGAAAGATTGGATGTGAATCCCCGAAGAGAAGCTTTATTCTCTCTGCAGCTCTGGATTTGTTCCTGCGCCAGTGGAAATTTACTCTGGCTCCCCTTCCCAAACAGCATTCCAAAAAAAAAAAAAAAAACACCCTAACCATATCTCATTCTGCCACTGTACTGTGGATTTGATAGTTATATTATCCATTTCATGTAAAAGAAAAGTTTACTTTAAATATGTGACAGAAATGACCTTCCTTATATCAGTCCAACTGAACCACTAATGGCTAACTTGTATATTTTTCTAGTTCCTTGTGAACGTGGATCTCGAAGAGATTTGGGAGCAACACGTGTGCTGAATGGCCAACAGATGCTCCAGCACTTTCATTTCCTGGTGCTGACTTCTGGGATCTTACGGCACGGCCATGCTAATGCCACCAGACTTCACGGCAAGAGAGTAGCTCTATGCCACGTCTCACTCACACGACTGCCATTCCAACATGTGTGACCAGATAATGTTCTTCAATCAGCTATAGGACTAGAAAAGGAAAAATAGGGACACACTAAATTTTCATCGATTTAACTAGTATAGGTAATTGGTTCTCTTTTTATGAGGTATTCTGTCAAACAAAACAGGATTGTACTTGCTCTTTAACCTCTTTAATAAAACATCTATGAATAATGTAACTATCACAATGCACTGCAGTCTGTTTACAACAAAGCAAACCATACTAACTTAATGTAAACAGTTATCAAACAGGCTGGATAAAGGCTGATTTTATGACAGATCATGTGGTTTGTTTTGACGCTACTCTGAGAGACACAAGTCCTGTGCTCCCAGGAGAGCACGACATCTCTTTTCTTTTCTTTTTTTTGGACTGCTACAGAACAATTGTGTGTCTAATTTGAAGAAAACATGCAACAATAGCCTGATTGTGATCATATGAAGTCACATAACCAAAGTGCCTTGGGTCTAAAATTTAGAGTTGTCTTGGGCATTTAGAAATGACCAC